ATGAGAATCTATATTCGTTCCACGAACTTCCAATTATGGTTGGTTATCAAAAACGGGGAAGAGGTGCCGATGAAGAAAGTCGGAGACAAGTTGATCCCCAAGACCGAAGACGAGTTTGATGCCGAGGACATCAAAAAGGTCGAGAATTATGCAAAGGCAATAAATATGCTTTATTGTGCCGTAAATCCTAATGACTACCGCAAGATCTCCTGCTGCTCAACCGCCAAGGAGATGTGGGACAAACTTGAGGTGACGTACGAAGGAACAGACCAAGTACGTGAAGCCAAGATTGACTTCCTCACCCAAGAATATGAGATGTTCAGGATGAAGGAGCACAAGAAGATCGACGACATGTTCGACCGTTTTTCCAAGATAGTCAATGATCTCCATGCATTAAAGAAGACATACACCGACAGGGATCTTGTGCGAAAGATCCTACGGAGCTTGACATCCGAATGGCGATCCAAGGCCGATGCCATCTATGAATCAATCGGCACATCAAATGTCACCATCGACAGTCTAAGAGGTAATCTAAAAACCTATTAATCTACTATTCTTAACCCGTATTTAAATGACCAAAGGAAAGGGATAGTATTAAAAGTCGTCAAAGAATCAACGATGGATGATTCAAGCGACGATGATGAAATTAAGCTTGTCATGAAGAAGTTTTGTAAACTTCTAAGGAAGAAAGAAAATGTTGAGAATGGCCCTGTGTGCTATGGATGTGGTGAAGCCGGGCACATCAAGAACAAATGCCCGAAAAGCGGAAGGAATTCTCGGCACTTCAAAAGGCAAAGGGCATATATCTCTTGGGGTGGCGACTCTGGCGACGAGTCAACCGATCAAGACGAGGATGAAACTTCCAACCTCTGTCTCATGGCGCACGAAGACCAAACCGACGATGTACAAGAGGTATGTACCATTTCATCCGACTCTTACACCTTTGAAGAAATGCAAGAAGCACTTCATGAACTTTATGACGAATTTGTTAGCGCTTCTAAAATCAACAAATCGTTAAAGAAACGCCTCTCCACTCTTGAAAATGATTTTGAAAATCTGGAAAAAGATAATGAGAAGTTAAAACAATAGAATAAATTTTATGGCAAAAGAAGCGCCGACAAACCAGAAAGTTCCTCAAACAAATGTGAATCTTGCAAAGCTTTAGAGGAACAAGTCACCAAACTTGAGAGTACGGTCAAGAAATTTAATACTCCACACAAATATTTAAATTTGCTCCTTGACACCATGCATTTTTCTAAGGAAGGAATAGGTTTCAATAAAAATGACGCTAAGATTAAAGAGAACGTTGAGCCACCACCTAGACAACCATCTAAGGTTCAACGTAAGAAACCTAAAACCAGGATAATAGAAAACCTAGTCAACCTAAGGACACTAGACAACCTAGACTAAAACCTAGGAAAGAAAATGTTCATGGTAGACAACCTAAGAAAAATAATTTTGTGCATAATAATAATTTTTCTCAAAATAGGAAAAATAACATGAGAACACCTAGAAATGATTCTTTTGAAAACGTGCATAAACCATCCTTTTCTCAAAATAGGATGAAAATGGTTAGACCCCCTAGCTATTATCAACCTAGGCATATGCTCAACCCAAACGTAGTATGCCATTATTGCAATAGGGTAGGACATATAGCTCCCGTGTGTTTTACCAGACATAGGCACTCCACCTACAATGAAACACACAACATATTTGATGCTAACGAAAAGAAATCCTTTGGAAAAGGATATTCAAATCATAAACAATCTCCACAGGACAATGCACAAAAGAAACCTTATTATTTCTTCTACTTTGACGAAAAGAAGAAAGTCCACATCCCGTTACCGGAACCAACACAGACCACACCGAGATATCGGCACTCCGTTCAGGTAGACTGGAACCCGCCAACCACGAGACGACGGGTTGGCCAAGGTAACTCTTAAGCGATCATCTAATCGTGCGTGTGTGTGTGTG